AAGCGGCAATTAAAGGCATGATAAACATTATATTTTTCTCTGTGCCATTTTATAGCAAACAATAACAAATAGTCTGTTTAATAGGTGCAGTTCGTTATCTCAAATCAATGTGTACTGTTGTCCAGAACTGGTCCTTCGATAATTTCCATTGGGTCGCTTTCCCGAAATTGTTGCTTAATTAATTGTATTCGAAGTGTGAAAGTTAAAAATTGCAACGTCACAAGGTGTGCAAGTTAAAGTATAGTTTAGTAATAACTTCAAAATTATAATTAATAATTAAACTAAAAATAAACTTTTTTTTCAAAATTTCAAAAAATTAATGATTCTATTTTTTTAATAAAAAAATTATAAATGAACTATACCTTAACTTGCACACCTTTAAACTAACTTGCACACCTTGGGAAGTCACTTTACACATTTTCAGTATACAAATGTACTGGTTATATAATATCAACTATATGCTAAAGTATTAGATTTTTTAAATAAACAAAGTAATGAAATGATATGTCGAAAAATAATTTTTTAAAATCTTATATTTTAAACAAAAGAACAACAGAAGAGGAAAATACCTTTTATCATTATTTCATATTCAAAAAACATCACAGAATTTTTTTTCTTTATGAAATTCCACGTTTTTTTTTTGGTTATAAAATAAAAAAAAAGTCATATGATTTTCTTATTCAAAAAACAGAACCAAAAATTATAATAAATAATGATAATAAAACCTATATAAAAAGGTTTTAATAATAATATGCGAAACAATTCCTTTGGTATTAAAAAACCGAAATCTTTATACGAAAAAGTATGGGGTCATTTCTACTTTTCCAAACGATGATTCTAACTCCTTCATTCCATATTTTATTAATTCATAAAACCATAACTTCTCATGAATAATTATAATGGCATTATAATTATTAACTCAAGAAAAGTCCCCAACGACAAAATATAAAGATGTTTCATCTCCAAATTCCAACCGTTTGTGATGTACACCAGCACTCGCTGCTTTTTATATGCTTTATTGGGGGTACTTCTTCCTCCACTTCCTATATTTCTTATGAAAGAGTGCAAAGTTGAATTCTTCCTCGCTTTAATTTTAACACTCTTTTTCTGGTTACCAGGTATTATATATGCAGAATGGTACATTTGCACTAATTTCCGAACCTGGTCCATCACACACTTCAAGTTCTAATTGAATTGTATAGTGAATTTATTAACTTAACAACAATTAACTTCAACTGAATTACTAGTTACGCTCTTCTGCATCTTTGGAATCTGACCCCACAGAACACCCAACTTCCAATAAAGACGACAAAGAAAATGAACATAGCAAACGCAATATATAGCTTGATATTTCGGCGCTGGAATTTCCTTTTCAATTCGACACTGTTATTAAACATACTCTCGGAATCTCTCAAGAGCATCTCCGACTCTCCCTGTAAATTGTCGAGATCATTTCCTCTGTCCAGCATCTTGTCGACATTTTCGTTGACCTTAGTGACAGTCTGGTCGAGTGTTTGTTGGATTTTATTGAGGGGGTCGTTAGTCAGATCGTTGAAGTGAGAGATCTTTTGCTTGAGCATAGGTGCAAAAGTGTTGTTAAGAGACCGTGGTGGCAGTGTGTCCAATTTATTTGTGTTGAACAGTTTTGAGAAATTGACGACGACGTCATCGATGAAGTCAAAAGCTCTGTCTTGAGGAAAAGTGATTCCTATAATAGTCATAACAGTGACCACGTCTGTTGTTAACATACAGAACTTCAATGGTTCATGAACTATAAAGTTCTTTCCACTCGTCGGCTTTGATAATATCTGTTTAATGATTTCGTCCGAGCCAGGGAGTAAAACCTCATAGTACTCTGCTAATATAGTTGTTTTGTATGATACAGAGCAATACAATATATTGGGTCCAGGGTCATATTGGCGAAGTGAATTCGACATTACATTTTCAAGTTCGTTTTTGAAGAATCCAAAGACCACAATTTGTGAAGATTGTTTCATAGTAATTGACTACTATTAATTAAGTAGTAATGTATTATAAATATTAATTTTAATATTATACATTCACAAAAGTGGTGTTCGAAGACTTTATTGAATGCTTTGCGGCATTCAATAAAGCAAAAAATTAACAAGACAAACTATAACTTATCAATCACTGTTTGAATGTCCTTTGCTGACCGACATTTCTTCTTACAACAATCGAGCCCTTCTATAACACGATATGCTTCATTGAACACATTAAGGTTATCAAAAGAACAGTAGCCCTTGTCATAACTAGGGTTCTCGCCAATTGTGGGTTTGACAATTATTTGATATTCGCAATTGAATGAACACCTGAGTTCATTTATATTTTTCGTGATTGACTCCACATAAGGTGCGGGCGCTTCTTCGATCTTTTCCGTTTCCCAGTATTCGTCTTCGCTGAAGAATTTTGCTTCCATACTGGGTTTTGAGTTTTTTCTTTGAAGAATAATGAAGAACGAGAGAATTAATAATTAATTATTAGAATGGAGACCTTTGTGTTGAAAAATCGAAACACAAAAAAAGTGTTGTAATTAAAAAAGAACAAATGGGATTTGCAGAGTCGAAGAGAGGCAGCTTTTCTGGAGTGTTTGGATGTCCATACAATACGGAAGTGGTAATCCTTGACATATCACTTTGGTGAAGGTTGTGTTAAGATTGGTGTTAATTTCGTTAAGGACATCTTTGATTGTGTGAGTTGCTTGAAAGAGTAAGCACTTCTCCTCAATTTTGTCTTGTCGAAGAAACACGGCTTGAATCGCTTGTTTCTGTGTGTTTGGCGTGTTGATTAAGTTTTTGAAAACAGCAAAGTCTTGCGACGTTTTCAAGAGTCTTGAACTCCAAAATGTCTTCGCATCTGCTTTGTGGTAATTATCTGTATTTCCATTTATTGCCTTAATACCCCTTTGCAGACTACTAATAAATGTTGCCTTCACATTATTCTTTTTATCATTAGTATCAATTGGAGAAACTTTGGTAAGTGTAAGTTTGCCTCCAAAAAGGTCAGCAACAATCCCCACACAAAGGTGTTGTGGTACAACAATGCCACCACATTTGACATTAAATCCGTCGTCTACATCGCACATGAAAGCAAATCTACTTACCACTTTGAGTTCGTCATCGAGCATGAAACTCACGTCGCAATTGTAGAATGATGTTTGTGTGTCCATATGGCTTGCTTTTTTTGCGCTTTTATAGTTCGGAATGACGTTTTGAAAGGATGAGATTTTTCAATCTTCTTGTTTGTTTTTGATTTTGCTAAAAAAACCCTTTTCTATTTGAATTGTTTTTGCCATTTGAATCTTTTCATAGCAATTGTTATTATGTATAGTTAAAATTAATTTTTATTAACTATAATATTAGTATAAAATATGTTCAATTTCAAAATAAGTACATAATAGTAATAATGCCATTATCATCTCAAAAAGTAGAATGGAGATTTCAAATTTAAACAAATAAAGTATTTTTAATAATAAATTTTGCTATTTTATATAAATTCTTATTTGTGATCGAAAAAATGAAACGTTGTTGGAAAGAAAAAAAATAAAAAAGATAAAAACTTGTTAACACAAATGCAAGACAATTTCGAAAATGACATCACTGATGAGGCCGGGCGCGTGAAGCCGCAGTGGTTCTGGTACCTCATCGAAGAGCATTTCAGAGAAAACGGTCTTGTCAAGCAACAACTTTCCTCATTCAACAACTTTGTTAAGCGAGTCCAGGACATAGTCAAAACAGACACCTTCAAGTTCGAAGTGAACAACTCCGACACCCTCCGTGTCAACCCCGCAGACGAAGAGTCACACACCCTTGAGTTTGACGAAACAAAGTACAGGTATCCACAAATTAAAACTTCTCCAAATTCAAACGTCAAAGAAAAGATCTTCCCACACGAGGCAAGAATCAGAGGATTGACCTACGCCAGTGAACTTAAAATTAATGTCAAGGATACCATCTACAGAGGAGGAAAACTCGTGGATGAAAAGACGTCCGATTTCTTTGATCTTGCGAGCATCCCGGCTATGCTTAAGTCGAAGATTTGCCGTCTTGTGAGTATTGTTAAACTGAATGATATCATTCAATCTGATGAGTGCCAATTTGAACAGGGTGGTTACTTTGTGGTGAAGGGGAGTGAAAAGGTCGTTATTGCTCAAGAGAAGATGTCTCCAAACACTGTGCTTGTTTTTGAAGGAAGTGATATGGCGAAGTACCCATTTGAAGGAAATATCAATTCTTTGGCCATGAACGATGAAGTTAGAAGTCACAAAATCAGAATGGACTTTCCCAAAAATCAGGAGATGAACAAGGATTTGAAAGTGAAAGTTCCAATGCTTACGATGTCAAGAATGATGTGTGATGTCCCTCTTGTGTTGCTCTTTGTCGCACTTGGTTATGAAACAGATGAAAAGATTGTCGACGCTATTTGTTTTGACGAAAAAGATAACGAGATGTACAACATTGTCACGACAGCCATCCAGGCCAACGAATACACAACTGTTGAAAAGGCGAGAGAGTGGATAGGTAGAAACTCGAAAAGGTCGAACAAAGAAGGCGATGAGATAGTCACTGAAAACATTGAGAAGATGAGAAGAGACGGAACCTCAAAATTGAAAACTGACCTTCTGCCACATATTGGAGTTGACAACTTCGAATCAAAAGCGTACTTCTTGGGATACATGACGAATCACTTTTTGAGTGTGTACACTGGAAAAAGAAATGGCGATGATAGAGATCATTTGGCAAGAAAGAGAATGCTTATGACTGGCGGCTTGATGATGGAGCTTTTCAAAAACGCACTGAAGAAGCTCACCAAGTACGCAAGAAACAAAATCCAGGACATTGTTTCCCACAAGAAATCCGACAACATTGACTATGGTAAAGTGTACAATTCAAAGATCATAACTGACGACTGCAAAAAAGCTCTTTCAACGGGAAATTGGCCACAACCAGGAGGAAAAGAGGCACGACATGGTGTTGCACAGGTTCTCAACAGAATCACATTCACGTCTGCGTTGGCTTATTTGAGAAAGATTTCGTCACCAGTTGAAGGTAAACGAAAGACCCAGAAACCAAGACAGTTGCACAATACCCAATGGGGGTACATTTGCCCAGCAGAAACACCAGAAGGAGAGCAATGTGGGTTGGTCAAAATGCTCAGTTTGATGGCGCAAATTACTGTCGCGCTTCCATTGCAAAACGTCCAAGAAATTAAAGACCAACTCAATTCACAGTATTGCAAGGATATCAGTGAATGCCTTGGGCATAACATGAACACCACAACGAAGGTCTTCTTGAATGGATCGTGGTTGAAATGCACTGATGAACCACAAAAATTGCTTGACGACCTGAAACAATACCGAAAGAACAGTGAAAAGGGTAAAGTCAAGAAAGTGATGTCCATGGTGCTGGACCAGTTGCACAGAGAGTTGCGTATTTACACCGACGCGGGAAGGTGTACAAGACCACTTTTCACCGTGAGTAACAATAACGGAGAACTGGGGATTAATCTGCAGAAAGAACAAATCAAACAGCTTTGTATTGAGATGGGTCGTAACGACGAAAACGGACAGAAAAAGAAGCTTTGGGCCAACTTTCTTACCAAGGGTATCATCGAGTATGTCGACGCCGATGAAGAAGAGATGTCCATGATTGCGATGTTCCCAAGCGATTTGTTGAACAGAGGCTCTGGTCCTGCTGTCAATTACACGCATTGTGAGATCAACCCAGCATTGATCATGGGTATCCTTGGAAGTATTATCCCATTCCCTGACCATAATCAGTCTCCAAGAAATACATACCAATGCGCTATGGGTAAGCAAGCGATTGGAGTGTATGCTTCCAACTACCAGTTGCGAATGGACTCTTTGGGACACGTCTTGTTCTACCCACAAAAGCCCCTTGTGTCGACAAAGGGTGCCGATTATGCGAAGTTTGGAGAAATTCCGGCGGGTATTAATGCGGTTGTTGCTGTCTGCGTCTATTCTGGATATAACCAGGAAGACTCTGTCATGATGAACCAAGGCAGTATTGACAGAGGACTCTTTAGATCCATGTGCTTCAAAACGTTCTTAAAGGATTACAAAAAGGGAGAGGAGACCGACCTTATGTTCTTTAGACCGTGTGAGGGAACGGATCTGAAGGACGTTTCTAAATACCAACACTTGGATGTCGATGGTGTGGCTCCTCCTGGCACAAAGGTCAGAGCAGACGATGTCATAATCGGTGCTTTTTACAAAGGAAAGTCGGGTGAGTTGAAGGATTGTTCAATGCGATACAAACCAAGAGAAAACGGTGTTGTCGACCAAGTCGTTGTGGCGACGACAGAGAACAGAGCGAAGATGATCAAGATCAAAATGAGGAGTATCCGTATTCCACAAATAGGAGACAAGTTCAGTTCAAGACACGGACAGAAAGGTACTGTGGGTATGACTTACAGACAAGAGGATATGCCTTTTAACATTGAGGGTATTAATCCCGACATTATCATGAATCCTCATGCTATTCCATCTCGTATGACTGTTGGGCAACTTGTCGAGTGTTTACTTGGTAAGGTCGGAGCACTGGTTGGTGATGTGCAGAACGGCACGCCGTTCCAACCTGGTTTGACTGTCGACGTGATAAGCGACAGGTTACATAAATTGAAGTACCAGAGATGGGGATATGAGGCGTTGTTCTCTGGGCACACCGGAAGAAAGTTGGACACTTTGGTATACATGGGCCCAACATACTACCAGAGATTGAAACATTTGGTTGATGACAAGGTTCACGGCAGAGCGACTGGCCCTTACGCGACGTTGACAAGACAGCCACTTGAAGGAAGATCAAGAGACGGTGGGTTAAGACTTGGGGAGATGGAGAGAGACTGTATGATTTCACATGGTATGAGTGCGTTGTTGAGAGAAAGACTGTTTTTGGCCTCAGATAGGTACCAGGTGTATGTCTGCGATAAGTGCCACATGCCCGCTGTTGCAAATCAGCGCTCTTCAACATTTGAGTGTTCGTGTTGTAAAGACCGAACGCACATATCGAAAGTGGAGATTCCATATGCCGCGAAGCTCTTATTCCAGGAACTCATGTCAATGGCGATATGTCCAAGAATCTACGCCGAGATGTGAGGAGATTGGTTCGAAGTGATTTTAATTTGGTTCGTTTATGTTTATTTTGATAGGCTTGTTGATCGATTAACTAAACTAAAAATCTATAAATGATGACGGTCGCGAGAATACTGACACTCATTTGTTGCAACAATTACATATACAATCAATGAAGTGTAAGGCAGAGGTTGATGAACCATTTGTTTTTGACGGACTCATTCCATTCGAAGAAATCCAGTATCTTCCTGAACTCGTTGTCGAAGTCGAACAAAGTGTCTGGACCGAGTCTGAGGAGCGTGTTGATGAAATATAAAAAGTTTGTTTGCAACAAAATTTTGAGACGAGAAGACCACTTTTGAATTGCTGTTTGCTGCCTCACGAAATTTTCTTCCCAAATTTTTCCCCTAGGTGCTTTGAGGGCGAGAAGCGCCTTGATCCGTGTGAGCAAAATACCGAGGTTGAAAATGTATACGACGACTAAAGTGTATTTGTCCTCATAATTTTGGTCGACACGCGTGATGAAAAGTATCCGCAGTTTCTCGAACTCCTCGTCTGTGTCGTTTGGCTTTGGAAAGGTCATCTTGTTGTTAAGTCATTAATTCATTTTGCTTCAAAAAAATAATCATCGAACAAACTGGACAATTGGGAATGAAGGAATTTGCAAGCGTTGTCGTCTCTGACCGCCCGTCTTGAAACCGCATCCCGAGAGCAAAAGAAAGATTAAGTGTCTCGAGCGTGACCAACCGCTTTACAGCCTCTTTGGTGACGTGTTGTTGAATGACTAAAGGGTCGTCCACTGTCGCGTCGTCGTCTGTTGAGTCGCCACGACTGGGGTGCATTGTGGTATTATGTTTTTTGTAGTTTTTCCAAGCAAAGAGGTATATCAGGTTTATTATTTGATGGGCTTTTGAGCTACAAAATCGGGGTTTGAGTTTGGATTACTAATTTGTGTTTCGTGTTCTTAATTCTTTGCTATAAATTTTGGGTTTTCACATTTTCTTCGAAAGATAAGGGAAGGCTATAATTTTCAAAGTATAGTTTGAATTAAAGTATATTCTAGTACAGTATTTGAGTACTATCAATTAGGAGATTAATATACGTTATATCCCGAATGATAGAGGTTTATAATTACAATAACCAAACATTTTCTTTTGAATTTTTTTTAATAAAGAATTTTGGATTGATAGAAGACACAAATTCTATAAAATAATTTAAAGCCAAAACACCACAATTGATTTTCTATAAAAAATTACAAAAAAACGATGAGATTTAAATGAAATATAGTTTAATTATAGTATATAATTATTCTCGGGTTCTGCTTTAATAAATTAAAAGAAAAGACAATGGAGATGAGGATTGGGAAATGGATTCGACGAACGAAAGAACTTGAAAAATATGGACAAAGCCACATTAGAAAGGAGAGAATTGGTGTTATGGGAAGAACAGCTTTTCAAACTGAAAGGCGATCTTGATAAGCGGCAACTTGAGATTGAAAGGACTGAAAAGCTTCTCAAAGAGCGGACAGAAGCTGTCGAACAAGCAGAAAAAGAGCTAATCGAGAAAAAGGTGGTAGGAAGTCCTGAGATGAAAGAAAAGAGTGAAACGTTTAAAGAAGTTGAAACAAGTGAACAAGAAGTGAAAAGCAAATCTGTGATACCAATTGAAGAAGCAAAGGTAGCACAAAATACCCCACAAATAGTCGACTTGTCATTCTTTAACATTGGAATAACAACAAATGAGAAGAACAATGAGAAGAGAAATGAGAACCAAAGTAAAGCACTTCCTGAATTTGACTGGATATTAGGGAACACAACACATCTCGAAGAAAAGACTCAAAATGAAATCAAAGAAACGAAGGAAATGAAACCAAAAGCATCTGCAAATAACCCATATCTTCCTCAACAATATACTCAAATGTTACAACAACAAAATACTACTAAAGAACAACAGGAAGTCAAAAAGGCTCAATCACCAATTAATGATGAACAAATGGTCCCACCACCCGTAGAACAACTTTACTCTCCACAAATAGTGACTAATCAATACGCTCCAGGTGTTCAAGTACAACAGAATCAACAAGACACACAAATGTACCAACAAACAATTCAAAATGTACCCCCACCTTCATCAACATCAATGGAAGAAAATCAATATAGTGATACTTCTTCACCAATACCAATACCAGTTAATGTACCACTACCTTATGGTAAAGATGTCGATCAGGCAATGGACGAACAATTTGAGGCCATTTCTAAGGAACAAGACACACTCCAAAGGAAGGAAATCACGCCGAAAGTCCCCCCAAAAATCCCAGCAAAACCAAGACCAAAGGAAGAACCTCAATTGTCTCACCAACAAGTCCAACAAAACATTCAAGCCACACAAAGTACACAACAACAACAAATGACAATGTTTGCATCAACACCAACAGGCGGAAAAGTCCAGAAATTAGTGAGGTACCAAGACCCTAAAATAATCGAGCAGAAGGAACAAAACACAAAGAAAAAGTCGAAGTATTCATTAATGGGACAACCACTGTGTTCGTTCCCCGGGTGTTCCAAAACGACATCGACCAATCCTGATAACTTCTGTGTGTGTAGTGTATGTAAGTGTTCGTATTGTGAACAACATAAAAGTGAGTTAGAGATAGTCATACCTTCGTTCAAGAATTTGACGAGTAAGAAGCAAGTGATCAAACCGTACGTCATTTGTAAGACTTGCAAGACAACGAATGACAGTGGAGATACCAAACAAGAGATGGGTGTGCTGATGGATAAGAGCGTTGCGTTTACACACGAACGAGAAGTGATGATTCAAATGATCAAAAAGGAGGAGGACAATGTGGAGAAGGGACTTGAGATGCTTATCAGTCGAAGACAAAAAGGGAAACTGTTTCAAAGGAAGGAAACTGGGAAGAATGAGAACTGCCCTGTTTGTGATGTCTTACTGAATGGCCCGGAACATATGAATGTGACGTGTGACATTTGTTTGAAGAAGTGTTGTGTGGGGTGCTCTGTGAACACGACGATTGCTCCAACTTTAATTATGGGCATCCAAGACCCAATGGCGGAATACATCAAAGTTGTGATCTGCAAAAAGTGCTTTGCGTGCACGAAGAAGAAAACGATGGAAACAAAAATAGAGATCAAGAAGTCCGACCAATCCCTTCTGAACTCACACCAGAAACTTGCCGAGTCGGAAGTTATGTTAAAATCACTTTTAAAGCGACTTGAAGATGTTGTTGATTCTATGAAGACTAAAGACGACATGAAAGGGTTCGAACAAAAAGAAACGTTCTATGTGGATGGGTTAAATGACGTCACACAACTGATGGTTAACTGTAAGAAGACAGCAGAAGGAATGGACCATGACACTAAAATCATCATGAGCAATTTGGTGATTGCATTCTCAAGTTTAATAGAAAGTAGTACCACAAGACACTCAATGGTGTATTCAAGATATGTTGATAAGGTCAAAAGACTTGGTCTTGCATAAGGTCAATTTACATTGTTTAAGGTTTTAGTTCTTTTATTTGTATTTATTAAGACTAATAATATATAACATAATCTATTAATATCTTTAAATAAGAATTTAACATAATAACAGGGCTATCAAGGAATTTTTAATCTGGAAGTTAAGAATCAAGAAAAAAATGGGCATTTGAATAACATTTTTTTTAGAAAAATGTTTATTAAAAAAAAGGAAAAACATTTTAAAGGAAATTGGTTTAAAAATAATTAAATTAATAGTAAATTAATAGTATTAAATCATTGTTTGGTTGGCTCTTCAATGGTCTGAAACAAGTTCCATTCGAGACACACTGTTTGTCGCCAACTTCAGAATTAACCTTGTGTTAACCGTGTCCACCTTCATATTGGATTTTCTTGAATATTTGAAATGAGAAAATACAGATTCGACGCAGGAAGATGTGGGGATGAGACATAACATAATTTTGACCAATTGGGATATAATAGGAAAATCGACTTTGTCAAATATCTGTATGGCTTCCAATAACGTGAAATTTTTCTTCTCCTGTTCAGTGAACGCCTCTTTCAATGTCTTTTGATTTTCCCAAACCAGATTTTGGAGTACACAAAGCTCTTCATTCAACTGGTCAAATGAGGTCTTGGGAGGCAGTATGTTGTCATAAAGGAATTTCCCTGGAAATAGAAAGGATTCCAAAAGCGGTTCGATATTTTGAAATTCATCCAATTCTTCTTTGACTTCTTCCAACTCTTCGATTTTTGATCCAGGCTTTACAGTGGTCCAATTGCAGAACCGGAGCTCCAATGCTCCCAGATAACTTCCCAAGACACGTTCACAACTATTTATAATAAATGGGGAATCAAAATAAAGATATTTGCAAGCCGATTTGAATGGTAAAATATCCCCCCTTTCGCACAATTCCTTCTTTTTTCTCAGGTCATCTAAGTATGTATCAATTTTATTTACTTCATCAACAAATAAGCCAAACTTCTCTTGAAGAGCATCACAAAGGCACTTAGCCCCAGTGAGTAAGTAGAAGAAAAAACCCAGGAATGCCAGGAAGGCCGGATCTCTTATTTTAAAAGATTTCCTTTCCTTATTCATGAAGAAGTAGAAGTCGTATGTAGTTGTGTCCTGTGAGTGGTTCATTTTTTCCTTTCTCCTCTTATTTTCTTGTTGTTTCTTCTTCTCTTTACTTTCATTGTGGTGCTTGACAAGGGTTGCGACAATTTCATTTTCAAGTTCCAGTTCCTTCACAAAAATTTCGATCTTTTCAAAATTTTCAAAGCAAAATTTTACCAAAAGTTGATGGTAAAACCACCTGGTGTTTGAAAGTGTTGGAATCGCCGCGACATCCATTTTCTTTCTTCCCCAAAATGCCTTCCAAGCAGTTATTGTGATATCAGAGCAAAGCCACTTTAAAAAACACAGAAAAACTTCGGTGTCACCTGTTGCCCACATAAATCCTTCCGCGATATTCAATCGATGACACATACAATACACAGTGAAAAACGGGAATGTGACTAAATCAAATGGAAGATGATAATCACTATTCTTTTGTTTTTCCTCCCTTTCTCTTTGAATGATGTTCAAAAGCTTTGCGTCACACACCAACTTTGAAAAGCCTCCCTCTTTCCCAATCATTGAACTGGCCCCATCTGTTGTTGAAAAAACCAGTTTGAGCAATGGAGCATTGAAAGACTTAAGAACTTCAAGTAGCCAATTTTTCATGTTTACCGCAGAGCACTTCTCAAAAAATTCAGCCACAATCAGAGTCTTTTGGACTATTGAGTTGTCTGAGAACGCAAGTCTACAAACAAGAGCCAAAATTTCACTACCATTTTTTTTCGCCGTATCAAAGGCAACACCAAAGCAGACACACTCATCAAATTGGCGTTTTGTTATTTCAGTTTCATTGCTACTCAACCGTTGAAGAATATTGAGACAATGAGAATGACTTATATGGATGCTTTTCCAAATATTATCAAACTCGTCGCAGAATAATGTCCCAAATGAACCCACAAGCTGTTCCACCAGTTTACATTGTGATTGACTAAAACCACCTTTATTTTCCGCAATAGCAGCAATTGAAGAAAAAATGTAACTCTTTTCGGCCAAGTTATCATTTTTTCTCCAGTTGTTCCAGTCTTCGAGCATATTTCTGATTTCATTTCCTTTGCTATTACTATGTAATCCCCATTTGGGGCTTTAGACTTCTCATAAACTTCCTTTTCAATCGTTTGTCTTATATTGTCCGAGCACTCCATCATTATTTCTCCTTCTATTTTTTCATCTTCCATTTCACTACAATTATTGTGTTCACTGTTCGTTGTCATGTCTTCATCCACAGGTGTTTCAAGGTTCATTTCCCCAATCACTGTATTGTCATCTTCCATTTCATTTTCAACGTCAAAATCAAGTTGCTTCTTGCTTCCCTTTCTTGGTCTTTGATGGCAAGGTTCTTCTATATACTTTTCTGCAGCACTTTGAGCCTCTTTTATATATTGAGTCTTTCTTCTTTCAAATCCTCCTGCATTAAATTAAATTTTTGTACTGAGTATTTAGAACATTTTAAATAATGAGTTGTATTACATTGATCCAAAAAACACCTGGAACAAAACGGACAATAGTAAATCGTTTTCCTCGACTTGAAGTACACTGGGATTGTTGCATGTTTATTGATGTTCTTTGTTATATTTTTTTCTCGTCTTTTCATTACATCTCTTGTTTTCTTGGGGTTGTCCATTGTCGTTTTGAAATATGAATTTGTCGATGAAAGATTAACTTGTTTTGAAAAAAAAACTTAGATAATTCTTTTGTTGTGTGATAAATGTTATGTCCAAGATTTTTTTCCAAAAAGTCTTTGTTCTTTTCAAAAACAACAGACATAAATATTCAAAATATATCGGAAATAATTAAACTAAAAAAGCAAGTAAAGTTCTTAAAATTTTATAATTGGTTTCCGATAAGGTTGTTTCTTAATCACAATTAATTATAATAGATAATATTATCAATAACTAATAGAAAAATATTTGAATTATATAAGTATTTTTTAACTTAAATTTCGGGGTTCAATTGATAATTATTTAACTGCAATAGAAAGCCAAAAACCCATTATCCAACCATTTAATTAGTAGAACAAAAAACGATAAATTTTTCTTTTTTTTGAATTTGCCTTTATGTGGTTCATTTTTTTCGGAAAAAAATGAGATTATTTATTTCAATAAAACAGCGATTTTTTTCTGAACAAATCAATCAAAACTTGAAAAACAAGAGTTTTTTCCCTCTTTTTTTTCTTAACTTCCAGATTAGGTCCAATTCCTTGATAGCCCTGATAATAAATAATATACTAATATTTGTATGAATATACTAATATTTCATAGTAGTTTTTAGAATAACAAACTTTGTACCCAATTAATAGAACATTTTCTTATTCTTAACGTCCAGACTAAAATGGGTTTCAATGAAAAATAGAAATTGGATTTTTGTGAACTAGAGTATAGTATATTTAACTATTACTAAATAGGTGCTGTGATTAATAGATATTAAAAACTATCATTTTAATTACAGAAATTATTCAACACGCATACAATTTCTAATTGAATAGGAAATTAAACCACTTTTTTCCAGCAGTTTTCATGGAAAAACAGGTTGTTCTTCAATCGTGATGATGAATTAAAACTCTAGTTAAATAATTAAAAATAATAGTTTCCAAACCTCAAATTGTAACGACTGAATTCGATTTGAAATGAACCGCCAGAATACCACTTGAAACTGCTTAGTTCCAGAAAAGTGTCCGACGTGATGATCACAGAAGGGATTGTTGTTCGAATAATCAGGCATTTACTTGGAGACTATATTGATGGACTTGGAGCTAATCAATTGAAAATCAGTTTCATGAATTGGAGTGCGAAGTTGACGAATCTGCGAGTCAGAGGAGACGCATTTTATTCGTTCAATTTACCTATTAAAATCAACAAAGGAGAGGTGGGAGAAGTCTCCATAGTAGTGAACAGTCTTTCACCGTTTCATTTGATGGTCAACGTGGATCAAGTCAAAGTCTCGTGTGGCCCCCAACGCATTTTTGTGAATGAAAAGGCTGATGTTAGTATTCAAAGGCTTAAGGAGAAGTATCTCAAGAAATACAAAGAAAATGAAAACTCCGATGTGATGAGTGGAGTCGAGTTATTCATATCGAATATCGATTTTGAGTACGTTGACAATGGTAATGTCATTATGCTGAAATTCGAGAAAATTATTATGAAAAATGGTCTTCTAGTGATAGTGAACACATCACTGCTTCATAGAAACAGGGAAATGAAAAAACCAACGTTGTTGTTTACTGTTCCAAACGTCTCCGTGAAACTCTCAACAATGGCGGTTGCTATACCACAAGTCGACGTCACATTCACACGACTAGGGTACTTGGCCCTAATGCGGATGTTATCACACTTTGGGCATTATTCACAACAAATCAAATACTTGGGGATTCGGCCGATCTCTTCCCCCAAGCAGGAGCCAAAGAAGTGGTGGAAATTTGCGTTTGAAGCGACGCGAATAAAGTATACCCACACACTGTTCAGGAAGAACCTTGTCGACAAAATCAAAAATCGGTACGTCTCGAATTACGTGGACATCTTGATGGGGCGTCCCATCAAACCTGAACAAACGAAAACAATGGAAGTCATCGAAGAAAGACTGACATCTAAAGAAATAGCTTATTTAAGAAAGTTAGCAACGCTGAGATTGAATGCAGAAGAGGAGTTGAATAAGAGTTCTTCATTCTTAGACGCGTTTAGAAACCGGGTGTCACTCAAACCCGAAGAACTCGAAGTGTTGTATAACACAGTTGATCCCGAATTGTTAGGGAAAAAAGATGGGAAAGGTGAGATGTCGGGGAGAGTCACTGAGCTCAATTTTTCGTTTGATGGAATTGGAAGGACCAAAGTCGAGAGTGTGATGTGGAGAGGAAATGTACGGGAAGGACTTTTTAAAATTCGGAGCGAAATTAAAAACGTTGTGATAATGAATGAGAAAATTGAGAGTGTCAAATTTGACTTCAAGTTTGATCCAAACTGTGAGACGGATATTCTGATGGTGCTCAAAGCAAGTAAAATCGGGCTGCGTGTTGAGAACAACGATTTGAAGAATTGCATCAATTTGTTGAAAATCGACAAGGAAGACTTGATGAATATCATCGACTTCCAAACAATGCAAATGAACGAGGTGTTGGAATGGATTATACCTGAAAACGTCTACGAGAAAAGACCACCAAATGTGGGTATAGAAATCGAGACGGATGACATCTCATTTTCTGTGTTAGTTGATACCAACGAGATTAAAGTCTCCACTGCTCCAATCAAAGTCTCAAGTGTGAAAAATGAAATTTCTGTTCCATTCAATCTGCGAATCTCCGACGGGGCGTTTCAGAATAAAATTGAGGGAAATACAACAATCGAAATCGCCGAAAATTACGACGACGCGCTTGCGAAGATGTACGTCAAAATGTTACCAGTCAAAGTGAGTATGGGAATGGATACCATAAAGAATGTACTTCAGTTGTTGGATGGATTTTTTAACACCAATGACACAACCGTAATTGAAAACGATGCGTTTGACGAAGACGAAGAAATTATTTTTGATGAAGCCGAAAACGAGAAACAAGTCATTTGCCGACCCGATAGGGCGTTCAGCAAGAATGATTTACACAAAGTTCAAGTGACCAAATTAGTGACAGGAGGGAAACGGGTGTTTGAATGTATTGTCGAGCTTCAGAACTTTGAGTTGGAACTATATGATGGGAATAACGAAAGTTTACTGAGGACGACTCTGCATCAGATTGGAGTCACTTTTGTCTTATTCCAACACTACACCTTATTGCAAATAAGTCTTGACACCATCAAAGGGTTTCATGGAGAACATAACATTCTGAAGACAAGCGAGAAATTTTTAAGTGTTCAAATGATCGTTTCTAAAAACGAGGAGTTGGTCAGTGGACTTGAAAATGAAATTAAAATTGGCGACGTGTATTTCGATCTACCAGCAACGTTTTTATGTCAAGTTGTGTCGTTCTGTTTGGAAGTCTCGGCGTTGTCTTTGTTGAAGTTCCCACTCAAATTTTCTAACTTAAAAAATGCGAAGAAAGCAGCGGAATTTTTTTCGGTGAATAAGGTAAATATCCAAAGCCTTAATTTGAAGTACTGTGAGTTGTCTGCAGCAGTTAAAAATGTGTCTGTTGATTTCAAAATTGATCAATTTGTTGAGTGCAGCTTTGGGATCGAAAGTATTAACGTCAATGAATGTATTGTGCCGAATGGAACCAAATTTCTATATATTTCAATGCAACAAAATGAAGAGGTTACCTACTTGTCTGTCTTGTCGGAACCTTTCACGTTTACACTACGACCGGATTTCATTGGGAAAGTGCTCGATGGGATCAACGAACCGGATTTGTGGAATATTGACTTTCAAAGACTCATTGGAAATCTCCCCAAAATTGAAATCCCAAAGAACATCAAAGCAAAGAAGACTCTTGTTGAAGCCAAAATTGGAGCACCGACGTTTGTTATTGAAAATGAAGGGAAGGTTGTGTGTATGTTTGACTCGATTGAATCTACACCCATTTTCGAAAATACACTTAAACATATTGTACAGCTGAAAAATGCGAAGATACACACCAATTTCTCGGATATTTTGAACATCGAGAATATCACACTTTCTGTTGAAAACAATGATGACAACGACTTTAATTTTGTTGAATTGTCATCGAGCCCAATACTGAGTTCAATAAACAGCGTGGAGTTTGGGGTACTCACACAGATCGCGACCAATTTTATGCAGCAACTTGGTGTTGAGAAGGTCACAAAGATCAAAGAGCGAATTGCGAATTTTGTTTCACAATTCGATTTGAATACATTGACACAAAAGAAGACAAAAACCAAAGTTTTCATCCCCAAAGTGTTGTTAGAAATTTATGATCCAAATCCGCTTGTCTCTGTATTGTTTGAAGAATTCAATTTAAACACAGAACCACAATTGAAATGCTCGTTACAAAAATGTTTGGTAAAAGACCTGACACAACACAGCAAACTATTCACCTCGGTTGTCAATTCTACAGGAACGTTTTTTGAATTGGAACAAATTGGAAGCGAATTAAACATTAATTTCTCACAAATGAATGTCTACATATTTCCAAAATTCGTTGTTTCTGTTGTTAAAACTATAATGAAAATACTGCCGACTATTCCGCACAAAGAAATTGAACAGATCAAAAGCGAATTTCACTTCTTTTCTTCGCCAAATTCATCAGTCACGCAATCGGAAACACCACACGAAATTGGCACACCTGTTCCACAAAGTACGTCACAGTCTATGGTGTCTCTTAAAGTTGTTGATATTGTATATTTATTCACAGGCATCGAGAGAAACTCGATACAATCATCAGAGTGTTCTGAAGACTCCCTCACCGAATTCACCAACGAAGACATTCAAGTGATTCGCAAGAGGTTGGTGTCCGGACTTGTCCTTGAAATCCCTAAAATAAAGGCAACGCGTATTGTCGAGAAAATTGGCTTGAGCTATGGGATGAACGAAACACAGATAATTTTCATCATCGACTATTTAATCCGAGAAAAGATATTATCATCGGACACTGTTTTGTATAGAAACACTTCCATGTATTCACTGCAATACATCCAACAACGGGATAAAGACAAACGAATACAGGTACCATTATTTTCTGAGGCCGCGAAAGTTGAAATTGTCACAAAAAACGTTTTGTTGAACATTCCCCTTCGAGTTGGTGTCGTCGTTGAAGATACTGAAACATCCCCATTTCTGTTGGCGGAAACGAATATTAACATTGTTCTCGCAAACTCGGTGGTGTGCAACGTTTCATGTGATATGTTTACTGGATGTGCTAAAAATGGGGAAATTGTGGACGCGGACAAAATGCCAATAGTCTCTGGGTGTAATCTTTCGTGCAATTTGCAGTCACTTGTGAGTGGTAAAGTGCTTGCAAAATTTGGAGACTTTGTACTGTCGCTTGGTGATATTTTCTTGGTCAAAAGAGTTGTCGAGGAACTGACCACCATTAAAGATGTTGTGGGTGTCGAGTTAGACATCCCTGTAAAAGAAGAAATTTTACCACTCAACATCTCTGTTGTTGTTTCTCCTTCTGAAATTCTCTTGCTTCACCCCAAACTCTTTTTGCCATTTATGAGAACAAAATTTGGAGGTGAGATTCTCGTGAGAGGGACCGACAAAAACACGTTGTTGGACGCTGCTCTGTCACTCAAAGTTGGTTGTTT